ATTCCTCATCGGACAAAGAAACATAGCCTAAGCCTCGCCCGTATTTATAATAATCCTCAGATTTCCCTTGTGGTACATATACCGCTTTGGCTGGATTACAAGGACCTCGATCGAAATATAGACCTTCTCCGAGTGTGAAATCGTACCCCTGCTTTTCCATGAGCTTGCGCGCTTCCGGACTATACTTAGATAAATGCCGACCAGGTTTGTCATCATCTTCATCTTCACTTAGGAAATGATCTGGTAACGGAGAGCTTTTTCCTTTACCGTAGATCACTTCTTTTGCGCCTTTTATTTTCTTTTGTTACATAGGATGACCGAAGCGGCATATACAAATCAGGATTATTATACAATTCTGTTATCACATCATTAAGAGACAGGGAGTACTCCAAATCGTTATTTATTTCAACATCGGCAAGTTGCCAATTACAACCTCCATCTGACGATTGTTCATCGTCAAGATTGATTACAAAGGGTACAATGTCATTTAAAACAAAACCACCATTGTAACCAAATCCGGCTTCGGTATCAGCTTCTTCAAAGCAAAATAGAAATAAAAATATATCACTGGGATTGATATCACGTGTACATTAATATTCAGAGAGCCGATGGAGACTCGAGAAACCACGCCCAACAAATATATTAAAGTTTGGTCAAAATTCAGACAGGCCAACATGAGAAAGATAAACCAAAAACTCAGTTTCGAAGTTGCCAATTGGGATGTGTTGCACATCATTTTCCAGGTATACCATGTACACCATATCATATATCATATCTACTAATGTAAATAAAGTAATCCAGGTATCATAGTTTAGTAACTATACTTACAACCCTATATATTACAAGAATATATACAAATTTAAAACATAGAATTATAGATAATCATGGACAAATGTTCAAAGTCCATTAGTGGAATAATACAACTCTAATTTTAATGACTATAAATGAAATCATTAATCAAAACTGCACCACATAATTTAACCATAAAATAAGCCCAATTAATATTTTAAATGATGATGTCCTAAAACAAGTTCATTAGCGCTACCAGAACTACCCAATTTAGCATCAATAGATCATCCCCAAAATATCCATCCGAATCTACATTGTTAAGAATGACATTTTCATCTTTTTTCACTCTCCAAAAACTCACTCTTGTCTACCTTCTTTCTCTTCATTCCTGACAGTCAATCACATTCAATTTTCAGGATCTTACCAATAATTGAAAGCGTGAAAATTTTAGACAATTGAAAAGTAGAAGCTGATGTTTACTCTAAGTTAATATATGGGCCTCTTTTCTTAGTTTTATTTGATGGTTGCAGTACGTAGCCCTCTTTCAAGTTCAAAGCACTGATGTATATCTAACCAAGAGTTATCATCTGGTAGGCAACATCCAAACTCTCCAGTCTACGACTCTACGCATCATAGTTCCATATGCAACAGGCAAATTGGAGATATGTCTGTGTGGTTTCTTCCTGTATTCCTTGCCTCATTTCCTATTGTGGGCTATAATTAATTGAAAACACGGAAACAAGTTTTAGTTGTTCCAAAGTTTTCCCCTATCCTGGTGGCATTCGATGGCTCAACATCCAGATTGAGTACTTGAAACAGGAGTAAAAGAAGTGACTATGTTTTTTATTGGCAAGTGGAGAAAGAAATTTGGACAGGACAATAGGTTTATACATTTTTATCAACTAAACAGGTGATTTGGGCTTGGATGTACACTTCTATTAAAAAAACTAAGCCCACCTGAACTTGTAAGCTGTAGTTAAACCTGAAGGGATTTTTAAGTGAGTTTGAAATCGATTTATAAGTCAATTTATCATGTACATCACATATTGTATATGGCAAGGCATGGTTCATGTAGACAGCTGTGCTATATTTATCATATCATACATTGTCACAAACAATACTTGCATAAGATATATATCAAATTACTTGCATATTATATTGAAACATTCCGCATATCATAAGGTATTGACAACTACACCCAGTAGAGTAAAACTGCAAGTGAAGTGAGGAAGCATGGTTCATGTGAACTCGTATCACAAGTTAGACTTGCATAATCATGTAAAGTTTATAAAAGACATTAAAACTAAAATCACCATAATTGAATTTCCATCAGAGAACAGACATGTTGAATACTGATTTTCGTTAAAAGAGCTGAATTTTTAAAATAAATTGAATGGTTCCATACCTTGCTGAAGGTCAATACCAGAAACTTCAATATCAAGAGAAACAACAGAATCCCCACTACACCTGGGCTGAAGCACATATAGAGGTCTATCTGAGACAAAGGCATTCTCAATAAATTCTGTTAGACTTGTTGGTGCATCTGTTCCCTGAAACATTTGCAAAATACTCATGTAAAGAAAAGAATAAAGATAATGTTGAAACATCTCCACACATGTAAGCAATAGCAGAAACTAAATCTAGGGAAACTCACTGGAATGATGTTCGAAAGAGCATTAAGATAGTCAGAGAAATTCAATGAGGAGATCTCCGGAAGAAAGTTCCCAGCCAAACCTGTCCAGAAAATCATATAACAGAAAGCAATATAAGAGTAGCATCATTAGACTGTGTCTGAATGGAAACAAAAGCGTACCAAAATAATTATTTCTTAAATCAGTACTGAAAGTAAAAACTAATTAACAACAGGAGATAACTCCGAGTTATATGTTTTTATCAATCTGTCAATGGAGCCTCATGCTCCACAGCTAATCCCATTTTCATGGATAAAGGCTTGAATTGATTGCAGGTAAGAATAAATCCCCAACCATCATCTAACAGCTCGTTACTATAACCAAAAGTTATAGGACCAAAAAAAAATCATATATACGACCCTCTATTGAAGGAAGGAAGTATATAAATCAGTAAATCATCAAATCCAAATGATAGCGCGACATGCATCCTGCTTTCTCCCAGCATGATTTTCTATAGAGCCCTTCCATATGACTTTTTCTTGAAAGTTCATGTTACTAAAACCCCATGCCCCTGTTCAATAACTAGAGAGTAACTTACTTTCTGCAAGAGATTTGTTCTTGCCGGTATATAGCAAAGTCGCCGGGCATGATCCCGTCATCCTACAGGACCTATCTGGAAAGTCCTGGGCCCAAACTGAGCCTGACCTCACAGCCCGATATTCAGGCCGAGGAACCTGCATCAGGGCCGGCCATCTTGGTGGGCTCGGAACCGCACATGTCTCTGCTTGAATCGCATCCGAGTATTGAATCCCACAAACCTCCTCACATCGGCCACTGCTGTTAGTGGGAATGCATTTGCAGCCGCAACGATTCTTGGGCTTATCGAGTTCTTTATTAACGATGACTTGAATGATGACAATAATGATGCAGAGCACTAATGGGTATGAGATTATGCAGGCATTGGTCTTCGTATTGCGTTTCTGTTGTTATAAGAGGAATTAAATGTTAAGACAACATTAATGAAATTGTAAATAAAAGGGAGCAAAAGTATTGAAGGTAACCTGAAAGATGAGATTCTTTCTGAGGAGAGCGTCGGCCTGAGTTGAGAAGCTTGCAGGCCCACGAGATGAGGATGAGCCTGAGGCCGAGCTTGGATCCATCTCTCAAATGGGAATTGATTTGAACGTGGGTATCGTTACTGTTGCCTTGCTCTTTTCTTCTCCTGTGCGTTCTTTCCTGAAATTTAAAGAAGGGAATCGAGCGTTGAACCCCAAGTACTTTAATTATTATGACATGCAACTTTTCAGAAAAAACCCTCCTAATATATATATGTGTGTGTTTTCGATAGGGCGACAACCATTCTGCAATTGTAGATCTTTCAAGGGCAAATTTCTTATAAACTCCTATCTTTTAGCCCATTTTGAGATGACCTATTGAACTTTAATAAAAAAGTCACTTAACCCCACAGCTTTTGAGCTTGCCGAAAAAAAACCCCGAAAGTTTGCTATGTTTTCAACATATACGACGTGACCCCGATTTTTCAAGCATACCCGCAAACTCTCTACCTTACAACCCCTAGCTTTCAACATTAGTTTAAACATTATTTTCAGAAAATCGTCATGATACCATTAACGGGGTACGTTGAAAGATTTGCAAAGTGTTGGGGGGTTTTGGGACATGCCTGGGTATTAAATGACACTTATAAATTTCAGGAGGGTTATCTCAAAAGAGGCCAAATTATAGGGGTTATGCATCATTTTAATTTATTTGTGCATTTTTTGCATTAAATTTTTTTTATATCTGACCGTGCTACATCTATATTTTATATAATTCCTGAAATGTAAATGCAAATTTGATATTGCTATAAGGTTTATGTGTTGAAAGTCGAAAGAATTGCCGGAGTCAAAAGAAATTATAAAAACGAGTTATCACTACCAAAGAGATAAAGAAATCTAAGAGAGAGAGAGGCAACAGCTTACTTAATTAACACTCAGAAATTAACAAAATGAAGTTGATGTAAGCAGTTAACTAAGCTTCATACCTGGCATTGATGTGGAGTGTGGCGTACCAAGAGTTTTTCCAGTAAACAATGGTCTCTGCAGAGAGTATGATTGAATAAAGAACTGAAAACTAAGAAGATATGACTTCAAGTTTAAGTAATAATATAATTGTCTTTTTTTTATTGATCGAGCTGCAAAGAATCAAGTTTGAATTGACTGACCAGTTAAGAGATAGTTATATTTAAAAGAAGAAATAAATAAATAAATAAATAAAGTCAACAAGAGCTCAAAGAAAATCATTCTTACAGTAAGTTTCCCATCTAATATAACCTCAAATAATTAATCACAGAATTTTTTTCCTCTGAAGAGAAGACAGAAATGAAGAACCAGAAAGCCATCCCTGCAATTTGAATATCTCCTGATTTAAAGATAATTTCACAAAATTCTTAACTGGTGAAAACACAATCAAGAATTAAATATGAAGCAAATCCGTCAAATTTTCTAACTGCCAAAGTAAGAAAAGCTTGAAAGTCCAAATTCCCAACTCTTTGATAGTGATTATCATGATTCTATTTCTTTTTATTTTTATTTTTCATATGTCACTCGTAGTTGTACCAAATTGTATAGAACTGTTCAATAGACTAATGACAACTAAACAAAAGAGTGTTTTACTGGACAAATAAGATAGAAACTAGACAAGAAGAAAGAGGTCGGGTAGTACACAGGAATCAACTTCAAAACTTCTAAACAATGAAAATAAAATGTGAAGTTAAAATTTTGGAGACGTGAGAAGTACAAAGTACAAGACAGCAAGCAAATAAAACCAACATATTCAAGGTTTGACTTTGACATTCAACGAAGACTTCTTCACCACAAACAAAAAGGAAAGGAAATAAAAAGTAACATAGATCTGTGACAATTTTACTTATGAAAACAGGGATAGTTCTCACCATAATGCCAGAAGACTTTATAGAAGGGAGACATCTGTGAAAGCATTGAGAGAGAGACAATTTTTACAACTATGACCAAGAACCTTCAACCCCGAACTGAAAGGTAAACATGCATATGCAAACCGAACAGCTAGACAGAATCAAGTAGAAATGTATTCATAATGTACAAGAAGAAAAGAATATCCTATTAAAAGAGCACAAACGGTATGGACATCGGAAATTTTATGGGAAGCCAATTTCCGATAGGAGATTTCATCTGATATCCTGCATTCAATATTTTTCTTGATAGTTGTGTTAATCGAATATCCCTTGGTTTTATAGCTGGTGACGACTTCACTTTTTATGATAGTTAAGCTCATCATAAGTAAAGTAACTCAGCATGAGCCCTAAAAATTGAACAACTAAGAGCATTTTCATGGCTGAATATTGAGTAGTAAACTTCTTTACTTCTCCAATATCAGAATGCTTCTTCCACAAGTATCCAGAAATTATAGAGGAAATTACATGTGATCTAGTGTCGATGTAGTTTTCTTAACCTGTATCAGGTCTAGAATTCCCCTACTAATTTTATATGTGATGACTGCACTTTCTATGATACTAAAGCTTCTTCAACGACTTAAGAATGAGAATATACATTAACGCATCTTCAGAACATTGATTACTCATAAATAAATGTATTTTAAGTACTGTTACATTCTTTTTTAACAAATTTAAGTCTTTAACATTGCATTAAATTGTTAAGTCCTTTCCAAGTTAACATTGCGCGTATGATGAAATCCCCACAATTGTTCCCAGTTTACCACCTATCCATGGATCCGATAAAGAGCCAAGTCAAGCTGCTAGACTTTCAAGATAAGGATTGCGTTCTATAAACTATGGACATAAGCTCCAAGAGTCAACTTTGTATTGATTGACCAAAGCATGCTTAGTGGAAGTAAATAAGTATATAGGAAGTACAATTTGTTGAATATTGGAACCTTCCTGGCATTCTAACAACCATGAATGTCAAATACAGGAGAAAGCTTGCTATCTTATGCCCTGTGAGTGATGAAAGACTGCATAAAAGTCATCATTTAACAAACAATGTCCTCCACCATTATTCTACTATACGAGGCGAGAAAGAATCATTATTGAAACTTCAGAGAGACAATTACCAGCAAATAAAAGAAATAACTATTGCAAACATAAATTAAGTAAAACCAAGCACAAGTCAAATTTTGAACCAAGTTCAATATTCTTAGAAGATCTTTCCTGGAAAGAAAATAATAATAAGAAATGGATCAACCTAAAATATGTGGAAATCTGCGGGCCAAGTAACATACAGAATTTCTATTATATGAGGTCATAATTCATGATATCAGGATCATGCAGCTATATTGCAAACATTGGGTACAACAAATTCTATATGCTTTTAGTAATCACTGCTACCCAAAAGTTATTAGGGAGTGGGCTGCAATTATTTGGAGCAAGACATCTCAACATGGATATAACTTCAAAATAAGCACCCACCTTGTTTGAGAATGTGTAATCTAATGGCTATTTCCTTAGATTTAAATATGGGTCAATTGCGATAGATCCCATGTAGGCTGTAGCATTACTGTTTTGACTTACTACTACTCTAGTTTTATCGTGCAGATAGACCCCTGAGTGAAATTCTTTTGAATCTTTTGTTGGAAATTGAGATTAAATCTGGAATTAAACAGTGAAGGATGATGTGCTGTTATTTTAAACTTTTTCAATTAACTGTTGTGCGTTTGAGAAACGCTGTGCTTAAAGCAATATTTGGCCTACTCCGGTGTAAGGATCCCAAGGCCAAACTGCTTTCAGGAACAGCAGTACAGTACTCTGATGTGCACCAACCCAGTACTGTCAAGATCTTCTCGATCTATAAGACCTTTCGGTCAAGGCAAAAGATCTTCTCGATCTCAGAACCATTCGGTTCAAAACCTTTCGGTTTCAGGGTTCCTGCGGGCACAGAGTTTCTACAGCAGCAGCACAACAACAGCAACAACAACGTCGATCCGACGTTCGTTTTCCAAGCTCTCGTGTGTAGAACGACGTTCGTATTCCACGCTCGTAAGTGTATAATGACGTTCGTATTCCACGCTCGCAAGAGTTTTCAGCAGCAACCAAGAGCTGCCCAAGGGCGATATTTATAGGCCTCTAAGGCCAGCTCAAGAGTCACTAGCAATTAATGTGACTGTTACAATTCTCAATGGCAATTAAGATTGTAACATTAATGTATTAAATTGCTCTAATTGCTATTGTAATTGCTTCATGTAGTAACTCCTGAATATGAGGCAATCAATGGACGCGTTGCTACGAAACCCGAGGGTCACGTCTCATCAAATCAGACGAACCTCGTTTGACAAACGAACGTCGTCAAACAGGCGAACCTCGTATGACAGACGAACCTCGTCGAACGAGCGAACATCGTCAAACAGGCGAACCTCGTCGATCGGGCGAACCTCGTCAAACAGGCAAACCTCGTATGACAAACGAACATCGTCAAACAAGCGAACCTCGTATGACAGACGAACCTCGTCGAACGAATGAAATCGTCAAACAGGCGAACCTCGTATGACAGATGAACCTCGTCGAACGAGCGAACCTTGTCAAACTACAAGAACGCTAAGGTCACCCTCGTGCGAATACGTAGCTCGTCCGCATGCTACGAAGCAGCCTGCGAGGCAACCTCCATGGCGACTATAGTGGCAGCCAACGTGGCGTCACCTCGCCCCGATGCCTCCGTGCGAAGTGCAAAGTGCGCCTAACAAAGATATATATATATATATATATATATATATATATATATATATATATATATATATATATATAGTTTGAAAACTTATTTTGGAAAGCAGTTTTGACCAAAAAATCCAACATCTTTTGCCCTCAGCGAGCGTAAAACTTGTTTTTTCAATAGACCTACGGATGGTAAAAGAGACAAATAAAAAGTCACTCGAGGATCCATATGCAACGATAAAACTAGAGGCTAGTAAGTTTAAAAACAGTGATACTTCAGAGGGTCTATCAACAATGAGCCCTTTAAATGAATATATAACTAGGTTTCTCAGAATTTATGGTGCTATGCATAAAATTAGAGGGTGTTTCGGGCATATACCCTCAAACTCTACTGCAAAGATAGCAGGACAAAATTTTCAGATAACAAGTATGAAAGTAACATACCTAATTTCTGTAGAAGATATACTATATCTCTTTCAGGCGTTCGACATTATCATAAACAAACTAAGTATTAGTTTCGTCTCTTCGATCCAGCTTATGAAATATCAAACTATCTCTAAATCAAAGGTCGGAGCATGGCTAGCGCACTTCAAGTGCAAGCTTAACACATCGACTATGCTATAGATGTCATCAGATCTCTGATGGGATTTGTCTTCAATAAGAAATTTGTGTGTCTTGTTATCCAATTCTATCCAACTATATGCTGGCAGCTTTGACACATTTTTAGTCTCCATTAATCTTCTCACCTTCCTGGCTTCATCCCATCTACCTGAATCAGCATATAAACTAGAGAGAGAAACATAATGGCCGGAATTATTTGGATCCAGCATCACCAACTTCTTCATCAACTTCTCAGCAAGACCAATATTTGAATAAGCTTTACAAGCACTCAATAGTATGCTCAAGATAACAGTATTTGGTTCCACCTCCATCTGAAAAATGAACTCAAAAGCCTCTTCCAGTCTTCCAGATTTACAAAGGAGATCAACTACAATAGAACAGTGTTCAACTTTAGGCACAATAGCATGATCTTCTTTCATACTTTTAAAAAAATTGAGACCCAGATCAACTAAGCCAGCATGAGTACAAGCAGTTAACAACCCCACAAAAGTTATATCATCTGGTTTAAAATTCTCCTCTATCATCTTATAGTAGAGATTTATTGCATCATCCGCAAATCCATTAATTGCTAGCCCTTCAATCATTGAGTTCCAAGAGACGACATCCTTCTGATGCATCTCATCAAAGATCCTACGGGCACTTCTAATACTTCCACATTTACCATACATATTGACAAGCGCAGAGCCTACATAAACACCAGATGCCAACCCTTGACTCTCTATATAGTTTCCTATACGCTCCCCAGCTTCTACAGAGCCTAATTGACCACATGCTGACAGAATACTCACTAGAGTGACTTCATTAGGCTTACAATTCTCCAACTTCATCTTCTCGAAAAGCGCTAAAGCTTCATTCGATCTCCCATTTTGTGCATAGCCAGCAATCATAGCACTCCAAGCAACCACGTCTTTGCAATCCATTTGATCAAACTCAAGACGTGCCTCATCTACAGCTCCACATTTGACATACATTTCCATCAATGCAGTTCGAACAATCAAATTTGTACGATACTTCTGACCATCCATCAATTCCTTAACTTTCAATCCCATTTCAAAATAACCCATTTTAGCACACGCTGAAAGAACAGTCACAAGAGTCCTCTCGTTCGGCTGAAACTTCTGCTCTAGCATCTGTTCAAATAGTTTAACAGCTTCAACAAGATTACCATTATGCACATAGCAAGTGATCATCGTATTCCACGAAGCCGGAACTCTAAATGGCATCTCATTAAAAATCTTCCTCGCTGCTAGAACATTCCCCGACTTCGAATATCCAGATATCAAACAGTTGTAAGGGACCGGTTCCTTAACCACAACCTCATCAAACACTCTCTCTGCCGAACTCAAGTCTCCACCTTTCGAGTAGAAATCGACAAAACCAGACTGAATGAACACATTCAACCATAGCCCAGATCGTATAACGAGGGAATGCATTTTCTTACCCTCGATCGTTGCGCCTAATGC